ATGATGATGATGATGATGATGATGATGATGATGATGATGATGATGATGATGATGATGATGATGATGATGATGATGATGATGATGGGGAGGAGGAGGATGAGAAGGAGGAGGAGGAGGAAGAGGAGGAGGAGGAGGAGCAGGAGCAGATGCAGGAGCAAGAGGAGGAGGAGGACGAGGAGGAGGAGGAGGAGGAGGAGGAGGAGGAGGAGGAGGATCAGAAGGAGGAGGAGGAGGAGCAGAAGGAGGAGGAGCAGAAGGAGGAGCAGAAAGAGGAGGAGGAGGCGGTGGAGGAGGAGGAGGAGCAGACGGAGGAGGAGGAGGAGGAGGGGCGGTGTAAACCAAGGAGTCATCAACGATGTTGGAATTAACGCTCCCTCCAAGATTCCTCTTCATAAGCGCCTACAAAGGTTAATTTCCATGAGGGAACTGCCTCGTTGGAAGACAACCTTGAAGACCGTGAAGCATGCCAAACCATTGTTTTCGGGATTTCAACGCCACTGATCGACCTGACTGCTGCGTGTTGGCGATCGCCAATCGTGCCAGAACGCCATTTTTGGGATTTCAATCAACACAGCGAATCAATATAACTGCAGCGCCCGCGTAATCCTGAATCCTTCCAAAACACCATTCCTGGTACGTCGATCATGGGAATCCGGGCGCAGATTTAAAAGCGGCGCTAAAGCGAGAGCCACGTTTTGAAAAGGAGCCAGCCTCAATCCATGAAGACTTGCAATTTTAATGTGCGCGGCGCTAAAGCGAGAGCCACATGTTGAAAACGACCCGCCCTCAATCCGTGAAACTCTTGAAGTTTTTTGAAGAATAATGTGCGCCGCGCTAGGGCGAGAGCTACATGTTGAAAACCACCCGCCCTCAATACGTGAAACGCTTGCGAATGTTTTAAACGAATGCTCGCGGCGCTAAGGTGAGAGCCACATTTTGAAAACCACCCGGCTCAATCCGTGGAACTCTTCTGCAATTTTACAAAAAATGAATGCGCCCGGCGCTAAGGCGAGAGCCACAATTTTGAAAACCACCCGCCCTCTGGCTGTGAAATGGTTGCCATTTTCGGAGCTTCAGAGTCATAAGTGGTGAGGAAGTCTCAGGCGAAACGTCCGGCCCGCCCTAAAAACTGGCCTCGGGGTGCGACAGGGAGAAGTTGTTCACAAGGAAAAGGGATGGAGGAGGAGGAGGAGGAGGAGGAGGAGGAGGAGGAGCCGCGTGCGCTTGAACCCACCCCTCCCGAGGGGTATGCCCTCAGATTTTTTGCGGCGGCCAAGCGCCGCTATTCCGGGCCCGTGATATACGCCTACAGCGTCGTCCTGAGTTTTGCTTCTCGTCCCCAGGGAGGGTGTAACACCCACGGCAACTCCAAGATCGCGATCATCTGCTTGTCACCGGCGACTTCGACGCCAACGTGCTGACGCCAGCATTCTGGTACGGGCTCACCAAGCACGATATCTTAGCCACGCGTATCATAGTGCGCAACAGCAACCGCGACATCCATCACAAGCTCCCCAAAGGCGCCGAAGTGCCAGCTTAAGTGGCAACCACGACCGTCGGACCAACAGCTCGAGGCCCACGGCAGGCCAACTGCGGGCACAGGGTCCAGCGACGGCAACCACGACCAGCTTCACTAGGCTTACCAACTCGACTCGCCATCCCGACGCTGCCTCCACCTTCCTGATTCCAATCCATGGAAGTACGGCTACCGAGCGCAGGGAACAGCTGCATCTGCAGCAACGACCCCAGCACAGCTCGGCAACTGCGAATCCCTGCCTTCACCATGGGGAGTAGCAGCATCAATGCCACCCACCTTTCTAGCGTCAGAGCTTTTGCGCTGCAGCCGCCCTCGCGGGATGCAGCATTCCCATACCTTTACCGTCGTGGAGCAAAACTGGTCCAGTTTTGCTCCGCGACGGCACAGCCGCAGTCGGCAGGCTCCCACCTTTTCCGCAACTCTCACGCTCTCGCACGACCCCGCTACGCACTCACTGCCACCACGGCAGCAGCAACACCAGCTACCACACGATGCGGCGCGTCAGCACCCACCCACCAGCTCTCACATCCCACATCCCACCTCTACATCGACAGCGCCAGCTGTCTGGAGTATCTGCACCTCCTCTATTTCTATAGTGAAGGCCTTACGGCCAGTACCGCCGACCCAGAAGGACGACGACGACTACCACGAGGACGACCGCGACGACAGCGACAACGACGAGCTGATGACCCTGCCACATGCTCGGGACATGGGGCGGGCGGTGGAGGGAGGAAGAGGAGGAGGAGGAGGAGGAGGAGGAGGAGGAGAACCAGTGTAAACACAAGGGCCATCAATGATGTTGGAATACACCCTCCCTCCAAGCTCCCTGTTCATAGGCCCATAGAAGGGACCATCTCCACGGAGGGAATTGGCCCGTTGGGGGACAAACGTGCGAAAATTCTGAGGCGAGCCAAACCACCATTCTCAGGACTCCGACGCCACGAGTTCCCCTGACTGTTACGTCTTGGCGATCCTACGTAGGCCGTGCCGGAACACCGTTCCTGGACTTCAACACCGACGATCAATGTAGTTGTTGCGCCACGGTAATCCCCAATCTCTCCACAGTTTCTTGGTACGTCAACCATGAGAATCAGTGATTTTCGCGCACGCATGTGCGCGGCGCTCAGGCGAGAGCCACGTTTTGAAAACCAGCCGCCCTCAGTCCGTGAAGCTCTTGCAATTTTTTAGACCGAATGTGCGCGGCGCTAGGGCGAGAGCCACATTTTGAAATCCACCCGCTCTCCATTTGCGAAGCTGTTGTCACCTGCTAAGCTGCAGGATCATCAATGGTGAGGAAGTCTGGGGCGAAACGGGCGGCCCGCCCTTTCGACCGGCCTCGGGGTGCGACAGGGAGGATTTTTTTAGAAGGACAAGGAGAGGAGGGAGAGGAGGAGGAGGAGGAGGAGGAGGAGGAGGAGGAGGAGGAGGAGCAGGAGGAGCAGGAGGAGGAGGAGGAGGAGGAGGAGGAGGAGGAGAAGGAGGGGGGAGAAAGACAAGCTAGGTGCGCTCGCGTCATATCTGACGTCCTACCCCTCCCTCCCATCCCTTACCATGGCGCTGATTTTCTCTATCCGCGGACGCGTGTCGTAGCGGACCTGTGGCTCCGCGCGCGCGTGCGTAGTGGGTGGTGGTGCGCGTGCAGCGTGCGTGCTTGTGTGCGTGGTGGTGGTGGTGGTGGTGGTGGTGCTGGTGCTGGTGCTGGTGGTGGTGGTGGTGGTGGTGCTGGTGGTGGTTGTGATGGTGGTGGTGGTGGTGGTGGTGGTGGTGGTTGTTGTGGTGGTGCGGCGCGGTGGTGGCGGGCGGATGGGCGCGCGAGAAAGAGGCCCGCGCTGGGGCGAGAACGCCATCCTGAACGACGGAGGCCAAACACCGATCCGAAAATGAGGCCCACGCTGCAGCGGGAGCACGATTCGGAACGATTCGGGAGCAGAAATGAGGCCGGCGCCTCAGCGAGAGCAGCATTTTGGAAAAAAAACGCAGGCGGAAACCCGTTTCCCGGGAATCCTGTGTGTAAAAACAATGCGCGGGGGGGGTCGGCCATCTTCGGGACGCCATCAGGGGAAGTGGGAGAGAGTTTTCATATTGTGTAATTGTGGAGGTGGAGGAGGAGGAGGAGGAGGAGGAGGAGGAGGAGGAGGAGGAGGAGGAGGAGGAGGAGGAGGAGGAGGAGGAGGAAGGGATGATGAGGAGGAGAAGGAATAATAATAGGAAGAGGAAGAGGAAGAGGAGTAATATTATTAATATTGATACTAAGCATAATCACAAGAGGAAGAACAATTATTCCACCAGCCCTCTGGGCGTAGGTGATCTAACGAGATCTTTTATCCTTCTTCCCAAATCCCCTCTTCCCCTTCGGGGAGGGGTTTACCGCTCCCCCTAACCCCTCCCCTGGACCTGGACTGGGAGGGGGCGGAGGTGTCAGATCGCCCAGGATGGCTCCAAGATGGCTCCCAAAGGGCCTCAGAGAGCCCAAGATGGCCTCCAAGATTGCTCAAGATTGCCCAACATGGATCAATCTAGCTAACAACATGCCTCCAAGAGGCCCGAAGAGGGCCACACGACGGATCCAAGTGCTTTTGGAGACCCTCAGGACCTCCCCGAGAAGCCAAACTCTTTCAATCACCTGAGGGAAATCAATGAGTTTTGCCTTCTCGCCGTGGTCTGAATTGCCCTCATATTGTTGATCAAAGTCGAGTTTTATCGACCTTCGGCCCGACACCGTTCCGCCGCCGCCGCCGCCTCCTCCTCCTCTTTCTCCTCCCTGTCCTCCGACGACGATTCCTACTCCATCCCCACTTTTGGGGTATATGACGGCTTCCCCCGCCCTTTGTTCTTCTGCATGCTCCCCCACTTCTCTGATCACGCCAATTTCCTTGGGCATCGTTTCTGGATTGGCTGGTGGGGGTACGCGAAGCTTCAACCATCATGATACTGACAACAGTCATAGCAGTGACCGTGATACTAATGAGAGTAGTAATGATCAGACGACGGCGATTGGGATGACGAACGGGACGGGTACTAAGAAGACGCATGAAAATCTCACGAACCTATAGGGGCATTAATAGTACGCATACGGATCATATAAATACTACGATTACGAACAATAATCATACCAGTGACACGAGAAATAACATTGACATTGATAGCACACGCGATGCAGACTCATAAGAAAGCAGCACACTCATAACATTAACATAAGCATGGTTGATAACATCGATGCGAAGAAACAGTTTAAGACTACCACGAATCATACTGCCACGTCGAAGAAATAACTTATCACACTAATAAGAAGAACAGTAATCATACGAATCATGTTAGCAATCCTATTAACATTAAGAAGCATACTGGGAGGAGGGGGGGAGGGAGGAGGGAGGGGGAGGAGGCGGAGGAGGCATCCTCCGCCGCCGTCGTCGTCGTCGGTCGGCCAGCCGCCCCGCCGCGCCGCCGCCGCACCGTGCCTAAGGCGGTCGGCGCCGCGTCGGCCTTCGGCTTCGCGCTCCTGGGGCGGGCGTGCGCGGAGACGGGAGCGGACAGCTACAAGTCCGCGTGGGGCCGCTGCAGTCTCCGCGCGCCGCCCCCGCGCGCCGTCGTCGCCGTCGCCGTCGCCGTCGCCGCCGCCGCCGCCGCCGCCGCCGCCGCCGCCGCCGCCGCCGCCGCCGCCGCCGCCTCCGTCTGCGTCGCCGTTGCCGTCGCCGTCGCCGCCGCCGCCGTCGTCTGCGTCGTCGTCGGCGTCGGCGTTGTTGAATCTTATTCACCAGCTAATCACCGCTGCCCCCCTGGTTTCTGGAACCGCACATATGGCCGAGCGATGTGGCAAGAGCTCTGCCGAGCTATCTGGCCCAGCCGTTGTGGAAAAATCCTTCGGGGAACACTTGGGAGAGGATGGCGGGGAATATCAGAACGAGGAGGAGGAGGAGGAGGAGGAAGAGTAGGGGGAGGAGGAGGAGGAGGAGGAGGAGGATGAGGAGGAGGAAGAGTAGGAGGAGGATGAGGAGGAAGAGGAGGATGAGGACGAGGAGGAGGAGGAAGAGAACAAGGAGTCGGCGGATGATGATGATGATGATGATGATGATGATGATGATGATGATGATGATGATGATGATGATGATGATGCTGATGCTGATGCTGATGATGATGATGATGATGATGATGATGATGATGATGATGATGCTGATGATGATGATGCTGATGATGATGATGATGATGATGGATGATGATGATGATGATGATGATGATGATGATGATGATGATGATGATGATGATGATGATGATGATGATGATGATGATGATGATGATGATGATGATGATGATGATGATGATGATGATGATGATGATGATGATGATGATGATGATGATGATGATGATGATGATGATGATGATGATGATGATGATGATGATGATGATGATGATGATAATGATGATGATGATGATGATGAGGATGAGGATGAGGATGAGGAAGGATGAGGATGAGGAGGAGGAGGAGGAGGAGGAGGAGGAGGAGGAGGAGGAGGAGGAGGGGGAGCATGAATAATGGGGGAGGATGAGTGAGATAAGTTGAAATGTTGAGTAGGACGAGGTGGAGCTGGATGAGGGCGGCAGCAAGGGGGGAAGCAGGAGGGGAGAGAGCCATCAAAAATGGAGAAAGGGAGGTGGTGCACCTGGAGGGGGGAGGGGGAGATGTGAGGAGCCGTAGGAGGTAGGAAACCAGGGGGAGGATGGCGAGGAACGCAGCTCGCCCCGGCGGGGCTGGTTGGCGGAGCGCCTGCGCGCTGAGGTGGGCCCTGTCGGTTGGGCGCTGGAAGTGGTTCCCGCGGGTCTTGTGCGCAGTGCAGACGCTAATAGGCTCTCCGCCGCTGGGGAGGGGTCCTCGCCCTGCAGGTCAGGGACAACGTTACGGGCTGTAGGCTGAGGGGGCGGGAGGCTACGGTTTGGGCTTTCGAGGCTCGAGTTTTGCGGACTTCTTCGCCGGGCCTCGGTTGTTTTGTCCAGCCTCGGGATGCTTTCTTGCCGCTGCGCACAGCCGAGACGACTCGGGGGGTGCCCAGATCGTCCCCAGCGGTTGCCCCGGGAACCTATCCCCAATCGCCCATGGATCGCCGATAGGGTCCCGATAGCCCTCGCGCCCAGGAACATGCGGTTTCGTAATCGGGGGCCTGTGGCCGATCTATCGGCGATGTATCGCCGATCCCAGGTCGATGTTCCCCCCCTCTGAGCCAGTCCCCCCCTGGTCGTCGTCCCTCGCTGCAGGGTCCAGTTCGGTCCGATCGAGCCGGTCCGATCTCGGCTTCGACCAGCCCGACCCGACTCAATCTCGGCTCCAATTCCGGTATTTCGTGTCAACCCGGTGCGGCCCGCTTCTTGGAATGGCGCTCAGAAGAAGCCAGGAACGGCCTGAGCCATGGGCCCCTGGGCTCGTGGACCCATTCCCTGAGGGATCCCAGAGCTCCGACGACTTGATTTGTCAAGCCGGCGGCCCGTCTCACCACTCGAACCCGTCCCCATGGGAGGTCTTTCGTCCTGAGTCGGTTTGGAGTGCTCCTGGGGCCCGCAGCCATCCTCTTGAGGCCCAGCATGGCGGAACATACTCCGTCCCGACTGTTTCGAGCCCCAGTCGTCCCCTTCCCCCCCTCGGCAGAACTGATGTTCTTGCTGGTCTCCCCCCCAGAGATCTCTTGTCTAGAGTTCCCCAGAGGCTTCTGGAGGGCCCAAGAAGTGCCAAAAACGTCACAAAACCTCGACTCTCCATCTCCTTCTCCCCCCCGCAGAGCTGGTGTTCTTCGCAATCGTCATCGTCAGCTGAGGTCTCTGGAGGCCGCTGGAGATCCCAGGAGGCTTTCATGCGGTCTTTGCGGGCCTCCAGGGTCCCCCGCAGGGGACAGGAAGGGCCACAAGCACTCCCGAAACAACCAAGATCGTTGAACCTCGGACCCCCCGCCGCCCCGTGCAGAGAATGGCGCTCTTCGCGCCCGCCCCCGCCCTACCCCTTCCTCCTTCTCTTCCTCCTCCTCCTTCTCCTCCTCCTCCTCCTCCTCCTCCTCCTCCTCCTCCCGTCCCTCCCTTTACCAGCTGTCTCTGGAGGCCTCCGGAGTTCCCCAGGGGCCTCCCGAGGCCCAGGAGGTAACGAAGTAGAGGCCTGGGGAGCCCCGCAGCCTCACAGGACCTTCGATCCTCGACTATCGATATCCCGGCATCGCTCGGACGTGTGCATACTTGTCGGCGAGGACCCATCCGGGAGTCTTTCGGGCCATCCTGCGGAAGAAGTGCACGCACGTCGCCGAACAGCGCACGGGGAACGCACGTCCGAGCGATGGCGAGGATCTTCTCCCCCCTGCAGAGCTGGTGTTCTTCGCGATCGTCATCACGAACTGCACCGTCATGAGCCTGGAGGCGGTTCGCCTGCTGCCGGCGGTCCCGCACGTGCGAATGTGGCGCCCGGGGGCCTCAGGGCGTGGTGGCCTCCCGCTCCCCCTCCTCGTCGTCCTCGTCCTCCTCGTCGTCTTCCTCCTGTCCTCTCCTTCTCCTCCCCCTCCCTCCCTCCCCTCCCTTGCGAATCCCCCTCCTCGTCTGTTCCCCCTGTCCCTCCTCTTCGTCCTCCTGTTCCTCCTCCCCCTCCTCAGCCTCCTCCCCCCTCTCCCTCCTCCTCGTTCTCCTTCTGCTCCTATGGCGATCGCGAGGAGGTGACGGACGAGGAGTAGGGGCAGGGAGGATAGGGTAATGGGGAGGAGGAGGAGGAGGAGGATGATGATGATGACAAGCCCTGAGGTCAGGGTTCGGCCGCCTGGCCAGCCTCCTCAGATGAGGAGCACGTACTGGCCGACGGCCTCACGACCTCTGCGCCAGCGCGACGAGCTGCTTGAAAGCCGCAGCCCTGGCCACCGCGCCCTCCCTCGACTCCTCGGAGTCGGCTCTGGCCCGCTCCGCCCGCGGCGACGCAGCAGCAGCGGCAGCCTCGACGCCGTGCTCGAGGCCGCCGAGCGAGGCACGGCGGCCGCCGTCCAGCGCGGCCACGCGGCCGCCGAGGCCGCCACCTTGCCCACGTCCTTGCCCTCGTACGCTCGGTGCGGCCCGAGGATCCCAGGGCCCTGGCCAACCGCCGAGGGCGGGGACACTTTCCCAGGCAGGCCCGTGGCGCAGAGGGGGGTACGTGGCACACGGCCTGCACACCGCCCCCGCTGCTGCTGCCTCGGCGCCGCGCCCGCTGCCCTCGAGCTCGGCCGAGGCAATGGCGCCGTCGCGCTCGTCCAGGCTGGGTGCGGCTGCGCCAGGGGCCTGCTGCCCACGCGCGCCAGCCGCCGCCAGGAGGCGGGCGACGCGCTCGGCGAAGCCCAGCGAGCCCAGTGCCGTCGCGGCGTGGCCGTCCCGCGCGCCCGACACGCCACCGGCCGCGGCCGAGCCGCTCGCCACCCCCGCAGCAGCCTCCTCGGCGTCGTGCGCGGTGTCGTCCAGCGCGCCCACGGGGTCGACGTCCAGCGCGTCCGAGCCGTCGGCGCCCGCCGAAAGGCAGTCCGCCGCCCCCGCAGCTGCAGCCTCCGCGTCGTGCTCCGCGTCGCCCAGCGCGCCCTTGGTGTCGACGCCCAGCGCGTCCGAGCCGTCGACGACCGCCAGCGATCTGCCCGCCTCCCCAGCATCAGCCGCCTCAGCGCCGAAGCCCAGCGCGCCCAGGAGGCCGTCGTCCAGCGTGCCCGAGCTGCCGAGGCCCATCGCTAGGCCGAGCGCCTCCGCAGCAGCTGCAGCCTCGGCGTCGTGCTCGTCGTCGCCCAGCGCGCCCTCGACCGCGACGTCCAGCGCGGCCGAGCCGTCGAAGGAGTCCTTCTCCAGGCCGAGCGCCTCCGAGGCTGCTACCTCCTGAGTGTCGTGCTCGTCGTCGCCCAGCGCGCCCACGTACTGTGCGCCCAGCGCGCCCGAGCCGTCGAAAGCCGCCGCCGAGCCGCGCAGCGCCCCCGCGCCAGCAGCCCCAGCAGCAGCATACTCCGCGACGTGCTCCACGCTGTCCGCCGCGGCCGAGGAGATGACGCACTGCGTGGTCTTGCGGCGCGGTCCCGTGCTGGCGGCGGCACTGGGCCTCCCAGCAGCAGCAGCTCCTTGGGCTCCCCTGAGTCGTGCCCCAGCACGCCTATCCCTTCGAGCTCCGCGAACTGCCGCCTGCTGGAAATCTCCTCTGGCCATCGCGTGTCCGAACATGGTGTTCCTTCCTTCCTGCTCGTCACGCCAGGACTGTGCCCTTTCACGCACTCGTTGGTGAAGTGCAGCCATTCTGCTCTCAAAACCTGCCTCAGGCACTGCCCCGTCCGTGCCATTGAGGATGTCAACCTTCGTGAAAGTGGTGTGAACCTCGCTTGTCGTCTCCAGCCGTCGAAGAGGGGTGGTGCTGTCGATGAACTTCTTCAGCTTCTTGAAGGGACCGAAGCCACGCCTCAGGTTGTGGAGGACCTCGAGGCCCTTGGTAGTGGCGACTGCGCAGGGCTGTCGCAACATGGCCTTGCGCCGCTGCAGCGCCCAAGCCCCACACTTGACACAGATGAACACTGGCCTGCAGGTGTCCTGCCCGTCGCTCTCCAAGGTGCCCTTCTGGTTGACCGCGACCAGCTTGTGGCCATTGGGGTTGCGCCGATGGTCCAGCAGGAAAGTGGGCGTCCCAGGGCACCCCGCGAGGGGGAGCGGTTGCCCAGGCATGTGCAACTGTAAGCAGGTGATGCATTGCACGCCCAGCTCGCCGTCTTGCCATTGGTGCCATGTTGCCTTCCTTGTGCTCGCTGCTCGCCGCCAGGTCGGTGCCCTCCTGGTCCACCCGATTTGGTCGTCCTTGTCGAAGATGGGCATGGCGTGGGCGATCAGCTTCGCTAACTGGCTTATTCTGTCTACGCCCTTCTGCATCTCCTCAACTACCTGCAGCTCGGGGGCGGGGTGGATCGCCGCTGCCTCCTTGGCCCTGCGGTCCGCTACAATGTTCGCGTCCGTTATCCTCCTCTGGCTGTCGGAGAGCGCTGCGTACTCGTCCCCAGAGCGGTGCGCTTTGACGTGGGCGTACTGCTGCACGTGCGTGAAGCCGTCGAGCGACTGCGCGAAGTGGGCGATGCACGCATAGGGGGTCCTGGCCTTCAGCTGCAGCTCTTTCTGCTTGTTGCCCAGATGGATGACGCCCTTGAAGTCGGCGTGGACGGTGCAGGGTCGGTCTGCAACCTGAGACACGAAGGCTGCCGCTAGATGCTCTCCGACGGCAGACTCTTGGGGTAAGGATGCGGGTGCTGCTCCGTGCATGGTCGCCAGCGGCATGTCTGAGCGGGGGTCCAGCAGGGCGAGGCTCCATCCTGCTCGCTGGAATTCCTTGATGGGCGGCTTGGTGCACGAGCCGTCAGTAGCGATCTCCATACTAGCATCGTCATCCCTGAGGAAACAGGCTGCCATCTGCTCAGGCTCCTGACATTCTTCATCTGGTACTGGGACTCCTTGGCCGTCAAGTATGACGCTGGTAGTGCCCAAACTCATTGTCGGAACATCAGCACACGCATATCCAAACATACCCTCAATAAAACCAGGCTCATCTGCATGCATGCGTAGCCCGTCGGGGAACTGTTGTGGGACCTCTGCATCAGCTCGAGCTTGCTGAACTTCAGGTCTTGTGCAATCAAGAAGTCGGTGCACCAGCGAGTCGGGAGCTCCACAGGGACACCTACCATCCGTGTTGTATCCACGCTGTTGGGCTCTCATCCTTGTCCAGACTTCACTGCACGCTACATTCATGATGCAGAACTTCTGGTGCGCCGTGTACCGTTTGCTGCGCATGGAGACCAGGGGGGCTAGGGTGTCGAAAGTGGCACGCTTGCCCTCAAGGCCAATCTTGCCCGCTAGGTCTCGCTCATGCTGACGTTGCACGCCTTGCTGCAACATCTGGAGCATTAATCTTGGGGTGAGCTGCTCCACAAATACCTGATCCCCTCGATGGTTACGCCACCTCAGTGCCGAGGTTGCTGTCCAGCCTGCCCGCGCCAGCGAGAGGGCAGCTCGTTGGAGAGGCCCACGGGTAGCTCCCCACGAGCTGCATACCCCAGGTACTTCCACCGCTCTTCGCCACCACGTCGTAAGTAGTGCCAGAGGTACTGGTGCCTGAGCAGGTTGCGATCCTGCCATCCAGACCATCCGCGACCACTGCAGCACTGGCGCCATCGCAATCGCCACTGTGGGGTCGCCCAGTAGCACCACCTTGGCCGAGGCCGAGGCGCCCCCATGACAGGGTTTGCGGAACTTGTCGAAGTCTGTTCGCAGCTTGTGGAGCTCCCTGTCGGCGAGGCCCGTGATCTCCACGCCGAAGGTGGCCGCAGGTCGAGCTCCAGCTCGGAATATCTTGGCCGTGCGCTGCGTCTGCTGTCCTGGTAGTCGATGTCTGAATCGCCCCAGCTTGCGCAGCCTCTGCTTGTAGATCTTGTGGCGTGCCTGCTGCTTGGCGCGGAGGAGCTTCCCTCGCCTCCTCCGTGCTCCCGCGAAGTCAGTGCCCAGGTAGGTCGCCCGACTGCGATTCATGTCAGTAGGAAGTTGCAGCTGCCGCACCACTTCCTTCCCAATATCATTTGAGCTGGCCACCACAGCAAGCTTATCATTAATACGGGCGCCGAGCTTCTTAGCCACATTGAAAAAGGCATTGCCCGCCTCGACCGCCTGCAGGATGACACTCTCCTTGGTGGCTCCATTGATGCCGAGGGAGGTGTCGTCAATGTAGGACGCGAACCTTACCAGCGGGTGGAGCGTGACGTAGATATCGTACTGCTCGATGGCGTGCGCCTTTATGACCACGTCTGCGTAGCCATCGCCTGCTGGGAGGCCGAACTTTGCATGCCGTGGCTGCGCGCCGTTATGCTGGTGGAGACGTATCACTCGTGGTCCTCTCCACTGGTTGTACACAATTTTTACCATCGCCAAGGGCATTCCAAGCCTCAGCAGCTTGTCCCTTGCTTCGTCCAGGGGAATCAGCTCGTAATACTTGCTGTAGTCAGCAATGATGGTGGCCGTGTGCCGCCCTGCCTCTGCATTCTGCTCCGCATCCGCTGCCAGGATCCAGGCGCTGTCGACCGCGCTCCTGTTCTTGGCAGCCGCCCAATAGGGCCTTCGCAGGGCCTCTTGCAGAGGTAGGAGGGCAGGTTTACGTAGTCGTTGCCAGACTCTGTAGGCCATGGAGTATAGGATGATCAAACGGTGGCCTCCAGCGGCCTTGGGCAGCATCGGCATCACCATCCACGTCAGCTGGACAGGGAAGAGGCCCAGCGCCTCGCAGGCCAGCATGATGTCGCACAGGCCCTCCAACGCGTCATCGCTGAGGTGCTCTAAGTGCGTGGGGTGGAGGCCGTCCAGGCTGCTGGAGGTCTTGATGCTGAAGGTACGGGAGGCGCGCCGAAGTTCCTCTGGTGATGGCCGTGCGAGGGTAGACTTATCAGGAATTCACGCATGGGGAGGCTCCTTCACCGCCTTCCACAGCGCTGCGTGCGTATCCTCCATATCCTTGACTACAAAGTGCGGGTGCCCTGTGATGCCGTTCTCCGAGTCGTTAACCGTGGTGGGGGCCTGAACTGCTCGCACGCGAGTGACCTTGTGGAGCTTCCCCGCTCCGCCCGCACAGGCCCCGTCACACCATTCTCTCCAGCGCCTCGAAGATTCCTTGTTCGCTAGCTGCATGGCAAAGTTGACATCCTCGTCGATCTCCTCCGAGAAGGTCATGATGTCCTCACTGCTGAAACTCCTCTGCGCAATCTGCCGAACATGCCGAACTGATGCGTCGAGCCTCGCGCTGAGGTTCTGCCCACAGTAGTCTACACTGAGGAATCCTTGCAGCTCGTTGTCGAGAAACTGTCGGCCCTCGGGTGTCCTGGCGTTCGCCTTTGCGGTGATGAGGCCCGCCAGGCAGTCCTGCAGCCGCTTCCATCCATCCGCGACCGCCTGTACCTCATCCTCCGTGAGGACCTGGTGCTCACGCTCGACCCACTTGGCTTGGAGCGGACGCGCGTAGGCGCTGGCCCGCGTCTCCGTACCAGTGAGGTGCCCGAGCCTCGAGGCTGCCCTGGTCGCCCATCTGCCCCAAGCCTTCGAGAGGAAACGCCAGGCGACTGCAGCAGGCGCCTCCTTGGCCATGCTCAGCGCCTGCTCAGCGAAGCTGCGCTCCAGGGACCAGCTGCTCTCCTCGAGGAAAGGTCCGTGCACAATCTGCGCTGGTATCTTCGCACCGCCTACGTAGGTGAGGTACCTGAGCTTGGTGCCCTCCGCTGTCAGTTGAAGCTGAACTGGTCGATGCGGCTTTACCGACCAGGTCAAGTCTGCGTTGCATGCAGCTAGCATGCGCATGGCTCCCGTGGTCAGCCCGAAGTAGTCGATGGTTGACACCGACGCCGCTGTCCTGCAGGTCGCGCGCCTCGGGGTGACCATCTCCAGCTGCGCGTGCACGGGGAAGCCGGAGTTCTTGACAACCTGCACGTCCATGTTCCAGTCACCGCCGATGATGCCAGGGTGCGCCTGGCCCGCAAGCGCGAGCCCCACCGTCATGAGTATACTTGCGTTGCGGCTGCTCATGCCCTCCCCTGTGTGGAGGTACACGTTGACGACGTTGAGCGGCGGCCAGTTCGGCAGCTCCACGACGACGTGTTGAGCCCTGCCACGGACGAGCTCGGTGCCGTGCGCAATGGTCTCGTTGACGCTGCCTGCACGTCTGGGCGGGGCCTCGCCAGGGTAAGTGGGCCCGCGCAGCCCGATCCCCTCCCTGGCGAAGACTGCCAGGCCTGCGGAGGGGAGGTACCCTCGTGAGGGCAGCCCTGGCACGATGAGGCTTTGCCAGCCGCGCGCCGTTGCCCAAGATGAGAGGCTCTCGCAGTCATCGATGCCGTAGCCTATCTCCTGAGCCATGATGACCATTGCTGTTGACCTTCTCAGCCGCTTCTGGAGGGTTAGCTTTCCCTGGTTGGCGTTGAAGGTCTCGAAGGTGTGCGCGATGGTGACCGCTGCTGGTGCGTGTAGCTGCTTGGCGCCAGCGCTGGAAGCCAGTCGCCCGCTGACCAGGGGCGGGTTACCCAGGCATCGTGCCTGTGCCCAGGGAGCCTTCAGCAGTCCTGCGGTGCTTGCTGTGCTGGACCTGCGTGAAGGCGTCGTCCAGCTTCTCCTTGGTCCAGTCCGTAGGCTGCTGTCCGCTGCTGAGGAGCTGCTGCCAGAGGGCGCCGACGTCATCCTTGGCCAGCTCCACCCAGGCGGCTCCGCGCTTATCGCCTCCTCGAGGCTGTGCGTCGCCGTCGGCGTCTTCGTCGTCCATGTCATCGTCATCCCGAGCTGGCGGTCCGTCTGCTGCGCCTGCGCCACCGCCCTCAGCATGAGGAGCATGAACGCCAGGTTCCTCAGCCATGACCGTAGCCAGCTTCTCCGCCGCCTGCTTGCGGAGGGCCGCCTGGATCTTGCCGAAGTGGGGGCTCGCCTTGAACTGCTCGAGGGCCTCCTTCGCGCCATCGTCGTCGAGCTGCTCGGCGTGGTCGAAGCCAACCAAGTCTTCCTCCTTGATGACTGGGTGGGGCTTCTCACCACGTGCAGCCTGCATGGTTTGCTCGTGCTTCGCATTCTCCTTGCGCAGGACCTCCACCTCAGCCTGTTTAGCCGCAATGGCCTCCTGCTTATCCTGGATCTTGCGCTGGGTAGCCTCCAGCTGCGCCTCCAGGCCCTGCAGGTCGCTCGTGAAGCGGTCCAGCTGCTGCATGCACCGCGCGAGCTTCTGGGACGAGGCCTTGTAAGCAGCGCCTGGGGGGCGCAATTCACGCGCCTGCTGCCGAAGGACGTCGAGGGCCCGCTGGTGCAGGAGGTGAATTGGGCCGCCCTCTGCCTCCACGATCTTGCACTCCTTGAGGCTCTTCTCGTGGAAGTTGATCTTCGCCTGGAGCTCCGTGCGCTGCTGGATGTTGCCCTGCACGTGCTGCGCCTGCTCCTTGCAACCGGCGCCCGCTCCTGATGACGCTGGTGCCGTAGGCGATGGGGGCCCCTTGGTGCTGCCCGCGTGCTGGGAGATGCACTGCTGCACCAGCTCGCGGATCTGCTTCTCCGTGAGGCCGCTCTCCTTGGACCACGGGGCAGGCTTCCGCACGAGCCCTGTGCCTCCTGCTCTCTGCGAGGGCTTCTTGTTCCGCGCCTCCTGGTCCGCCTTCTTGGCAGCGTTGATGACCTTCTGAGAAGCCTGCCGCCCGCAGGAGCACACGATGCGGCAGGCCCAGTTGTTGTCCTTCCCACACTGGCATCCCCAGACAGGCTCTCGGGGGCCACGCAGCACTCTCGCCTGCGGCGGTGCAGGCGCCATCGCCCCTGCAGAGGAGCCGTGATGGGCGTCCAACCGCTGGGCCGCGCCGCGCAGCCTGGCTACCAGCGCAGGGGTCGTGCGCCCCGACCAGGCGTGGAGGAGGAACCTGTCCTCCCTGCGTTGTAGTCGCGCTCGATGATGGGCGGCAGCCTCCCGCGGAGCCGCCGTCGCGAGCGCTGGTCTCGGCGCGCGCCAGGAGCCTATCCCCTCGCCTGCCCCGCAGGCGCCCAAGGGGGAGGCAGCTCCTCGCGAGCCGAAAACTGGAGGAGGAGGAGGAGGAGGAGGAGGAGGAGGAGGAGGAGGAGGAGGAGGAGGAGGAGGAGGAGGAGGAGGAGGTGCTCCCGCTGCAGCGTAGGCCTCATTTTCGGTTCGGCGCTTTGCTCCCGTCGTTCAGAACGGCGCTCTCGCCCCGGCGTGGGCTACTTTTCTGGACCCGAGTCTTGCTTTATTGTGGTCCCCCCTCATTTCCCTCCTCCCGCCTTCCCCTGGTCCTCTTGTTCCTCCCGTTCCTTCCACTCCAGTTCCTGCTGCTGCTAGTTATTCGTCTCGCCCCTGCGCAGGCCACTTTTCTGAATCCGAGTCTTTCTTCATCGTTGTCGCCCCCTCATTTCCCCTTCTCAGCCTTTTCCTGGTCTTTTTTCCCTCCTGATCCTTCTGCTTTAGTTCCTGCTGCTGCTGTTCGTCCTCATCCTTTTTTCCCCTCCCGCTCATCCTCCTGATCGCCCGCCGCCTCCTCCTGCGCACGCAGCTCCCCTTTTCCGATTGCGCATGACAGGAAGTTTTGTTTCAGCGGCAGTCGCAGGTCGGCCATGACACGCGTCCGCGGATAGAGAGAAATCAGCGCCATGGGAAGGGATGGGAGGGAGGGATAGGATGTCAGATGAGGCGCGAGCGCACCTAGCTTATCCTCCCCCTCTCTATTTCCCCCCTCCCCTGTCGCGCGGCGGGGGAGGATCGCCTGGGCGCTGTCCGCTTTCGTCTTCCTCCCGCTGTGCTGCATCCGCGACCTGAGCGGGCTTTCCAGGTTCTCGCTGGCTGGCATCATGGCCCTCGTCGGCGTCCTCGGTGCGCAGGGGGATTCTCTCCTTCTTCTGCTGCTTCTTCTTCTTCTTCTTCTTCATCATGTTCTCCGTTGTCTTCTTGCCATTGTGTAACCATTCGAACTTTTACTATGTCTTCGTGCTTGTGCTACTGGTAGTGCCCTTCATACGGTCCGTACTCCAGTTGATCGCAGCAGTTCTCAGATTACCGTTGTTGCCGTTGATATGTTTTAGACCTTATCCATCCTCGAGCGACGCGGAGCCGAGCGAGGCAGGAGCAGGGAATCGAAGTAGGAGGAGGGATACATAGCTTCTGCAGGCCTCCTTCTCGTCCCCCAGTCCTCGTGACCCGTCCCCCGCAATCCTTCTCCATCTTATGCTGTTTCTTCCCATCCTCTAGTTGCTGTTGCTCCTCGTCTTCGTCGTCGTCGTCCGCCTCCTCCTCCTCCTTCTCCCATATCTCTCTTCCCCCTCCACCAGGTTTCCCCAAAATTTCCGCGGTCCCCTCCCCAATCCCCGCACCCCTCCCCGTCCCACCCCCCCTACTCACGATCTTCTCCATCCTCCTCGCTTTCTTTGCCCTTCTTCTCGTTCTGCTGCTCCTGCTGCTGCTCCTCTTTCCTCCTCCACTCCTCCTTCTACTCCTGCTCCTCGTACTGTTTTCTCCTGCCTCCTCTCCCTCTTCGCCATTCTCTCTCCCCGCCTCCTCACGCCCTCCTTTCCTTCCTCCCCCCCTCTTTCCCCGTCGGTGGGGAGGGAGGAGGGGGGGAGGGATGACGACGAGGACGAGGAGGACAGTGAGGAGGACGAGAAGGAGGAGGAGGAAGAGGAGGAGGAGGAGGAGGAGGATGAGGATCCGCGAGCTTCCGACCGCGCTGTCGAGCGGACGGGCGGCCCGCACGCGCCCCAGCGCGCGGGGCCAGGGTCAGGAAGACCCGCACGAGCTCGTCGAGGGAGACCGCGACGAACTGGCAGCAGTAGCCGCCGCCGAGGGCGCAACGCGGGGATGCGGGGCCACCTCCCACCGCGCGCGCCTCAGGGCAGCGGCCCATCCAGGACGCCGCCGAAGAGCTCCGCGTCGTCGTCCCCGACGCCGTGGCCGCAACCGAGGGCGCCACGAGGGGATATGGGAGCACCTCCCCCTCGCGCGCCGCAGGGCGCGGCCTGTCCAGGGCGGCGCCGAAGGAGTCCAGGTCGTCGCCGCCGAGCTGCTCCATCTTGACGGCCACTCGGCCAGCGGCGCCTGGCGCGAAGCCTTTGGCGAGGCGGGCAATCGCCAGCTTGCCCTTGGCCCCAGGCTCCCCGCAGGCGCGGGCAAATGACGAGCTCCTCGCCGCGCCCGTGGCCCCGCAGACGAGGCAGGCCAGCAGCGGCATCTCGCGCTGCAGCTGGGCCTCGACCTGCGGCTCGATCTTCACGATCACGTGCGCCAGAGCGCCCTGTGCCCGCAGCCTCCTATTGTGGTCCAGGGCGGACGCCACAATCGAGCCAGGGCACTCGCTGGCGCGCTCCGTCCAGCGGCACCTGCTGCACCATCGCGCCCCAGGCGGCCCACGGAGGTCGCAGCCGAGCCTGGCAGCCACGGGCTGCAGCGCTGCTCGCGGGGCCACCTTGTTGGGCTTCGCCGCGCGGTGGGTGGTGTCGTCCCCGCCCACGGCGGCCCCAACCGCGGAGACCCACAAAGCCACGCCCTCGACCAGCTCCCGTGCCGACTGCAGGCGCTGGCGGGCCTCGGGCGCGACTCTCGCGCGCTCGGCCGCGCGCTTCGCGGCCTGGTCAGCGATGCTGTTGCCGATCCAGTCGCGCGCGGTGATGACGCCGTCGTCGACCACTCGGCGGCGCGAGACGTGCGCAGGGACCTTCTTGATGGTCAGGCCCTGCGGGCCTAGCCCCCCGAAGTCCTCGACGAGCCGCCAGAGCTCGCGCCAGAGGTGGGCCCACGCGTAGCCCCAGCGCGTCGTGTTCAGCGGCCCGTGCTCCAGCACACCCTTGAGCACGAAGTTCGAGTCGACGATGGCCCTGGCGGGCGGCGCGGCATGGCGCAGCGTGCCGATGAGCGCAGCCAACTCGCCGCCGTTGACATCGGCGAATGGCTCGCACAGCGCGCCCGAGATGCCAGTGCGGAAGGCGTCCGCGCCCTCCTGCAGCACCACCGCAGCCCAGCCGGCGCTCGTGTACTGCTGGAAGTCGCCCTCGTAGGCGGAGCCGTCCAGGTACACGCCGCCAGACGGCAGCATGCCGCCAACGTCTTGTCCCAGCCAGCTGAGCCCAGGAGGCCGAGGCGGCTTGATGATGCCGCGGCGCGCCGGCCACAGCACGCGCTCCAGCAGACACTCCACCTCCTCGAGCTCGGCCCTGTCCGCCAGCTCGCGGATCTTACTGGGCAGCCGCAGCTCGGGCGGCCATCCGCTGCAGCGCGTGTGCCTATGCAGCAGCGTGCCAACGTCGCCGCACAGCAAGCACTTGTCGTCCGCCGCGTAGCCGCCCAGGTACTTTCGGCGCTGTGACCACTGGCCGTCCACGATGACCGAGGCGAGGTAGCCGCGCTCCTTGGGCGCAAGACGGATCGCCTTCGCCTTCTGAGCAAGCGTCGCACCACAGGCAGCGGGCGTGTGCCCCGTAGCTCCCCGAGGCGCGCCGCTCGGGGGGGCAGCGTCATTAAGGGCAGCATCCGCAAGCCCACCCTGTGGAGCCGTCGACACACCTTGCCGTGGAGGCACAACGCTTGGGCAGGCACCAGCCCCAGCGTCGCCAGCAGGCAGCCCAGGTCCGAGCGGTGCTCCGCCTTCTGGGTCTGGCCGCGGCGGGGGGTCGTGCGCCACCTGACCGAGCAGGTCGTTGATGAGGTCGCCCCATCCATGACCAGCTTCAGCGCGCGCAGCTTGTAGAGTAGCGGCGCTGGCCCCCACCGCCATCAGGTAGCCAGTCCCTAGCGCGCTTGCCAGAGCTGGGCCAGAGCGGCCACGCGCAGCAGAGCCAGCCTCGACGCCATCCATGCTCGGGCCCGCCGCCAGGCAGTCTTCCAATGTCCCCGCGTCGTCTGCCCTCGCGATGCCTGCTCGAAGTGCAACGCCGTCGTAGTTCGCTCCGCTTGACCGCGCGATGCCTGCTCGAAGTGCGACACTTGACCGCGCGATGCCGCCGCGAGTTGCCTCCTCTCCCGAAGGCAGCGCCGCAACCGCAGGAGGCGCAGCAGGTCGAACGACAGGCCGAGGAGCGGCGGCGTCAGCATCACCGTCGACGTAGGCCACCTGGCGGCCGAAGAAGCCCTTGCGCCGCGCCGCCCCCGCGTTGGCGAGCCTGACGATGGGCTCGAGGACGCCCCCATCAGCCAGGTGGGCGAGTCCAGGCCGCTGCCCGACCTGTCGCCACTGCCACGCCTCCACCGCCATCCAGAGCAAGCGCTTGACGACCCAGGGCAAGGTCTCGAAGATGCAGAGGCTGTCGCCGCAGTGCGTGAGCCAGGTGCTGCCGTCGACGATCTGCCAGCCCACGCGCTCGAGGGAGAGCCTGACCGCGGAGAAGGGCCCCTTCACCTGGCACCAGCTAGTGGCCGCACTCTGGGCCAGGCCGTACTTGAGCACGTGCTTCGGCACCCATCACTCCCAGACCGCGCGCAGCGTCGCCATCGCTGGGGCAAGCGTCGCGCGGTAGACAGGGTCGAGGAAGGGCGTGAGCATGAGCGCGAGGGTCCGCGAGCGCCCCGCCACGCGCGGTGCCACGGCCGTGAAGATGAGCGCGCGCAGCTTGTCGAGCTCCGTGGCGGCGCAGCCCGTGACGGAGAAGCCGTAGGAGACGGACGCCTCGAACCCGCTGCGCGCCACCTTGCGGACTGCCAGCTTGCGCCCGACGCCTGTCTTCAAGATGGCCACGCGCCTGGGCCTCAACCCAGCAAGCACCATCTTGTCGCCTCGGACTTTCCTCGCAACCCTGCGGCCGCAAGAGAAGTCGACTCCAAGATTGCGCTCGCCCTTGACCGAAACCATGCCGAGCGGCCGCTTGAGCTTCGCAGCGACGGCGCGCCTGACGTCGGGCACGTTGGCGAGCGCGCGGGACTTGGAGAGCGCCACGTCGAGGTCGACCTCCGTCAATAGCGTCTTGAGCTTGAAGGCCGCCTCAGCCATCTCCCTCGTGACGCGCACGGCGCCGCCGAACCTGTGCAGCATGAGGTCGTCCACGACCGCCGCCAGCTGCATCGTCGGGTGCTGCTCGACCAGCCTGTCCAGCGGCCCGATCAACATCAGCTTGAGCAGGGTGGTGGCGAAGCCGTCGCCTGGCAGGATCGCCTGCCGAGCCTCGATCGCGCCGGAGTGCGCGCTGCCCAAGGCGAGCACCCTAGGCGCGCAGTACAGCTCCACCTGAAGCTTGAGCTGCCACAGCGGGAAGCCAGTGCGCACCGCGGCGTCCAGCAGCCAGTGGTGCCTGACCTGCTCGAAGGCCTTCAGCAGGTCGAGCAGGGCGGCCGCCGCCGCCCAGCGCTTCTCGTCGCCGCAGTCCTGTCCACGCTGCGTGGCCCACTCGCCAATGGCCGCCTGGTGCCAGACCGCTCGCTCGCAGCTGCGCCCCGCCGAGGCCCACCAGTAGCTGCGCGCGTTCTGCGCCTCCCACTTGCGTGCGATGTCTCGACGCAGCCGGGCTTGAACGCGGGCCAGCACCATGATCAGCGCGATCGGCCTGGCACCACCAAGCCTCTTCTGGATGAAGCAGATCTTGGTGGTCATCTCGGGCCAGGACGCGTGGAGCTCGATGGCCTCGATGATGTCGGCGAGGACCTCGATGCCGTCATCGCAGAGGTCGTTGAGCTGCCTGGGCCGCACCGCGCAGAAGGAGGTGCCCGTGTTGGCGGGGAAGGCCAGGAGCACCTTCCGCAGCTGCGCCACCGTCGGCCGAGACGGCTGCGCGCCAAGGTCCTTCGGCCAGCGCAGCGACACCTGCTCGCAGGTTGTCCTCCACCATCCGCTCCAGGCAACCTCCAGGGCGGTGACCTCCGCGGCGAGGTCGGCGGGCTCGCAGAAGGGCGCGCGCGCGTCTCCGCGGTGCTGGTGTGCAGCATGGGGCTCTCCGCGAAGCCGATTCGGCAGCCTGGCCACCGCGTGGAGCCCGCCGCCACCGCCCCCAGCTTGCTTGGCGACCCACTGCTGGAACTTGGCCTTGCGCTCCGGCATGTCGCGCTCGGCCAGCTTCACGGCGGCGGCGTGGGCGCGCTCGCTCAGCTGCAGGACCGTGGTGGAGGGATCCAGGCAGTGTGCGCCCAAGCTGTTGAGGAGCTGCCACCAAGAGCTCGCGACAGGCAGGTCGTGAGGCTCAGCCTCCGCGACGCCCTTCACGGCCTTGGGCGCGGTCACCATCAGCCTGTGCAGACCTCGAAGCGCACGGGCACGGCTGACAGGCTGCGCGACGGCGGCGACAAGCTGCAGCTCGCACGACACCCTGTAGAGCCAGGTGGCCTCGACCGAGACGTTGGGCCAGCGCGCGCCAGCGACGGGCAGCTTGCGGACCCAGCGCGGCTGCGCTGGCTGACCTCGCCCACGATACTTCTGGGCGTCCTCGCCCACCTGGTACATATCGATCCAGTCGGTCTCGGCCTGCTCCAGGAACCGCTGCCAGGCAACGTTGATCAGGCCGCGGAGCTGCGCCAGCTCCACGTCAGCGCAGGCCGCCCGCGAAACATGGCCCTCAACGGCCGCAGCACCTGAACCTCGCTCACACTCCCCAGCCAGAGTGGCGCGCTCTCCGCCTGCAGGTCGTCCTTGCAGGGGCCCGCGAAGTTCATAACCACCACCGCGTACAGGTCCATGTGCGCTCGCACCGCAGGCAGCGGGCGTGGGCCCCGTAGCTCCTCGAGGCGCGCCGCTCAGGGGAGCAGCGCCATTAAGGGCAGCATCCGCAAGCCCACCCTGAGGAGCCGTCGACGCACCTTGCCGAGGCGCAGAGCGCAGGGGCCGCCGTACCTCCTCGCCGACGCTGGCCCACGGCACGTGGTAGTCCCAGCGCGCGCAGCCAGCAGGCCGCTCCTGCGGGAAGCTCCTGGGCACATCCATCACGCGGATGTAGGGGCTCTGGCGCGTCGCCTCGAGCTCTAGCACCACAGGCCGATGCGGCCACACAGGCGATCCGCTGATCACCTCCACGTTGAGCGGCCGCAGGCCGCTCGACACGATGAACATGTCGATGGGGCGCATCGAATGCACGCAGGTCGGCTCGAGCGTGTCGACGCAGGTGCCGTCGAAGAAGCACAGTACTCCGCTCTTCTCCAGCTCGGCCTTGGTGCAGTTGAAGTCGCCGCCGATCACGTGCGGCCTGCCGTACTGCTTCAGCCTGCACGCCAAGTCGCGCAGCGCCTCGTAGTTGAAGGCGTTCACCCCCGCGCCGCTCTCCAAGTACACGTTCCCCACAACGACTCCCCTAGGAGTCAGCCCAGCGTGGTGAAGCAGCTGCGCTCGCCCGGGACGAACGACAGGGGTCTCGTAGCCCATCGTGGGCGCCAACCCGTGCTCAAGGCGCGAGCACGTCAGGAGCCCCCCAGACGCCAGGCCTCCCGCCTGAGACGCCTGGGCCTCAGCACCCGCGGCGCGCCATCCCCGACGACGAAGCTCCCCTTCAGCATCCGTCGTGCGCGCCCCGCTGAGGCGGGTCTCCTGAAAGAGCAGAACGTTGCACCCGCTGATCTGTTCCGTGAGGCACCTGTCCAAGTTGCTGAAGGCGTTCATGTTGAGCGTCGCCAGCCGCAACCTGCTGCTACCCCAGCTTCTGCTTCTTGTCCGCGTAGCAGCGGTCGCGGAAGGCCTCGAGCCACTTCCTCTTCTCGGCGTCGCCGTCGCAGAAGGCCTCGACCTGCGCCGCGAAGGCCTCAGGGGACAGGTTGAGGCTCTCCATGTCTGCGTCGTCGTCGCCAGCAGCCTTGTGCTCGCCTCCCAGATCCGCTGCAGGAGCCGCTGCCCCAGGCTGAGCGCCTGCCGCAGCGACGGCAGGGGGGGGCGCAGCGGCGGCTGGCGGGGCGCCCGAAGCCTCGCAGGCGGCCACGTCCTGCTGGAGCGCGGCGAGGAGCGAGTTGAGCGGGCCAGCCAGCTCGCCAAGCTCGACGCCGCCGAGGGCGCCCGAGACGGTGCCCACCAAGTCCCTGTACTTGGTGGCGTCGGCGACGTAGCGGTCCTCGGCGCGCGGCGCCGCAGCAGCAGGCGGCTCAGCCAGGACGCGCCTGGCCTTCTCGACGAGCTCGTCCAACTCCACCTGCAGCTTCGCGACCTGCTGCTCCTGGTCGAAGGCCGCCTGCAGCGCTGCCTGGGCCGCCTGCTTCTTGCGCCCCAGCTCGCCGCGGGCCCGCAGGAGGCGTTTGGAGGCCTCGTCGGTCGCCACCTGCGCGCTCCTGACAGGCTTGACCGCCGACAGCGATCACAGCTGCTGCTGGAGGAGGAAGCGCTGCTGGCGAATGGCCTGCCAGTCCGCCTCCGCGATGAGCTCTTTGCAGGCGTCGAGCTGGTCGACGGGGCAGGCCACGAAGTAGGCGAGCTTCTCGTCGGTGAGCCGCTTCGGCTTGGGAGGCTGCAGTCCACTGCCGCCCCCAGCCGCCTGCTCGGCGTTGCGCCACGGAGCCCTGGGCGGTCCCTCGGCCCAGCGACCGAGACGAGGCCAGCCGCCATCACCAGCATCACGAGGAAGACGGGCACCACTGGAAGTCGGGCGGTACGCGCAGCAGTCTGGCTGCCGACACTGCGTCCTCCACCCGAGGTTCTTGTAGCCGCACGAGGGGCAGCGCCAGCCAGAGCCCGCCTGGGAGCTGCCGGGAGCGCCGCCGCCGCCACCGCGCGGGTTGCCGCCGCCGCCACGAGGAGGAGGCGCCATGCCGCCCACGCTCGTGCCGCAGCACACTCAATCACTTGGAAAGCTCTTGGCCTCAAAGCGCGAACCCCCTCGCGCTCAGAAGCCGCCCCGTGGGACTCGCGGTCGTCGGGATGGTTCATAGCCTTGAGCCAAAATGGCTACGGAGGAGGAGGAGGAGGACGACGATGACGAGGAAGAAAAAGAAGTTGAGGAGGACGACGATGACGAGGAAGAGGAAGTTGAGGAGGAGAGCCTCCTCCCTTCCAGGCGCCGTGACGCTGCGGGCGCTGGATGGCACGTACGCGCCCGGAGGCCCCCACCTGCCTGGGCGGGGGTGGGTGGGTCGGTCGGGCGCGGTTTCGGCGGGCGACTCCGCGTGCCATCGGTCGGTCATCGGGAGTGTCGAAGGTCAGTGGGGGAAAAGTGCTGATACCGCTTCCCTTGCCTCGTTTTCGCTTTGCTGGGCCTCCTGGGAGTCCCTCGACGCCACTGCTGGATTCGCTTCGAAATTCTGGTCAGAACGCATCCTGAGAAAGGTCTGGGGGTTCGAGCTTGGTAGGAGGAGGAGGCCCCAGACCTCAGGCGACTTGAAACATCGGGACCTTCATGACCGTCCGGGGAGCAATGCTATCGGTACATGTGTCCTGGTCTCCCCAGGAGGGGCCCGATGTTCGGCGGCGCGCCGAGGGGGGAAGTTAGACTTTCTCTGGCGGTCTCGTCGGTTCCTGGAGGCTTCCAGCCTCGGGGTGCGTTCCAGCAGCCGCGCCTCGCCGAGGGCGTTGCGGGGTTGCCCCGATCGGTCGCGAACGGTCGCCGGAGGCAGGAGTTGTGGCCCGAAAGCCAGACTCGGCGGCGCGCCGAAAGGGGGAAGCGAGAGGTGGCAGAGACCCGCTGACCCTCTCAGAGGCCCTCTTTGGTGCTTTGGATGAGGTTTAGAAAGAACTGAGACTTGTGAGAAGGTCCGCCCCCTGTGCCTCCCCCCCGACGCGCCGCCGATTCAGAGGGGATCGATGTACACACGACGTCGTTTGGTCGGTCAAGAAGCCAGCGAATCCGGCGCAGAAGCTCTGCGAATGAGTTCTGCGAAGGCATTCGAAGAAGAATAATACACATAAGAAGAAGGAACGTAATAGCATGACTAATCATAATGATAATACTACGGCTACGACTGTTTGTACGACGATGTCTACTACTACTACTACTACTACTACTACTTCTACTTCTACTTCTACTTCTACTTCTACTTCTACTACTACTACTACTACTACTACTACTACTACTACTACTACTACTGCCCTGTAACGCCCCTCACGGGGGTAGAAACCAAGCGTCGTGTTGTCTCCTCCTCCACTCGTGTTCTTGCGCCAGACGTCCACCCCTGAGGCTCTCGGAAGTTTCCACAAGGCTCGCAGGTGGTCAGACAAATGCCCCGAACATCGAAGACTAAGTTATTTAATCGCTTCGCTCATTCCGCCGGCCCATAATGTCGCACCGTGGTCGCCTGTCCGAGTGGTCGTTTGCAGTGTGGAGCTGCGGCGTCGGGAGCTGTGTAGTTGTCGATAAATGTGTTAACGCTTTTTCATGGGGCTTCTAGGTGTTTGCAGTTTTTTGACGGCTTTGGTGCCATCGTGGGGGCGTGTTACCCGTGGTATCCCGCTGTGGGGCCGTTCGAGCCGAGGGAAGAGACATCTTATGCGATAGGGGAACCCTCGTGTCGGAGGGTGGCGGGCTTTGAATGCTAACATTGGCTCTTTTATCGTCCTGATGTCCTCTGGCGTTGCGGACACGGGCGTGAAGGAACACTTTCTTGTGGCGTTTCTCTTACCATCTCTTTTCTAATTGGACCAGAGGAAGAGGACGACGAGGACGACGAGGAGGAGGAGGAGGAGGAAGAGGAGGAGGAGGAGGAGGAGGAGGAAGGAGGAGGGGGATGAGGAGCGATGAGGAGCGCCTTTGTCGTCGTCGTCGTCGTCGTCGTCGCCGCTGCCGCCGCCCGCCGCCGCCGCCCGCCGGCGTCGTCGTCGTCGTGGAGGGTCGAGGCTCGAGGCTGGAGGCCGAACGCGGGGGAGGAGGACCACCCCGACCCGCGTTTCCCAAGTCGCGTCTGGCTGGAGGCCTCCAGAGGGCCTTTTGGAGGCCTCTTGAGGTCTCTTGAGGGCCTCTTGGGGGCCTCTTGGGGCCTTCGAGGGCGTCTTGGGGCCTCCCGGGGGCTTCTAAGGGCCGAGAGCTCGAAATTCTGTTTCGTGAGCCCCCTCTTGGGGCGTTCTTGAAGCGTTCTTGGGGCCCTCTTGGGCCGTCTTGGAGGCCTCTTGGGCCGTCTTGGAGCCGTCTTGGGCCATCTTGGAGCCCTCTTGGGGGCCTCTTGGGCTCTCTTGGGGCGATCTTGGAGGCCTCTTGAGCCGTTTAAGGGCGTCGGGGAACCGAAAAGGTTGAAACGCCCAAATCTGTCCAAAACCTAAGAGAAACATTGATTTTTGCCTCTTGGGGCCCTCTTGGGAATGCACTTGGAGACCTCCTGGGGATCTTGGAGGCTTCTTGGGCGTCGTGGAGCGATATTCGGGCGTCTCGGACCTCTCTTGGACCGTGTTGGGGGCGTTGTTGGGGCCCTCTTGGGCCGTCTTGGAGGCCTCTGGGCCCGTCTTGGAGCCGTTTTGGGCCGTCGTGGGGCCCTCTTGGGGGCCTCTTGGGCCCTCTTGGGGCGATCTTGGAGGCCTCTTGAGCCGTTTAGGGGCGTCGGGGAACCGAAAAGGTTGAAACGCCCAAATCTGTCCAAACCTATGGAAAAGCATTGTTTGTTTGCCTCTTGGGGCCCTCTTGGGAGTTCTCTTGGAGGCCTCTTGGGGCATCTTGGAGGCTTCTTGGGCCATCTTGGAGACGTCTTGGGCCGTCTGGAGGCCATCTTGGGCGCCGTGGAGCGATCTTCGGGCGTCTCGGACCTCTCTTGGACCGTGTTGGGGGCGTTGTTGGGGCCCTCTTGGGCCGTCTTGGAGGCCTCTGGGCCCGTCTTGGAGCCGTCTTGGGCCGTCTTGGGGCCCTTTTGAGGGCCTCTTGGGCATTCTTGGGGCGATCTTGGAGGCCTCTTGAGCCGTTTAGGGGCGTCGGGGAACCGAAAAGGTTGAAACGCCCAAATCTGTCCAAAACCTAAGAAAAAAAAATTGATTTTTGCCTCTTGGGGCCCTCTGAGGAGTGCTCCTGGAGGCCTCTTGGGGCATCTTGGAGGCTTGTTGGGTCATCTTGGGGACCTCTTGGGCCGTCTGGAGGCCATTTTGGGCGCCGTGGAGCGATCTTCGGGCGTCTCGGACCTCTCTTGGATTGTGTTGGGGGCCTCTCGGGGCCCTCTTGGGGCGATCCTGGAGGATCTGGGGGAGTGTCCCGGGCGTGTCCCGGGCGTGTCCCGGGCGTGTCCCGGGTTCCGCCCAGGGTACTTCTGATCCAGGGACCCCCAGGGGCCGCCCCGCGCGCGCCAACCAGAAATACTGTTTACCAGTTACCGGAGATCTTAGCACGCCTCTGGCCCGTTGGGCCGGCGAATTCGAGGTTTCGTCTTCGACTCCGTTCTCAGAGCCCCGACGTGGTGTCTGTTCATCGGGTCGGCGCCCTTGATGTCGTGAAATTCTCCTCGGAGGGCCTCTTTGTGACGCTCCCGAGAGAGGGGAGGAGGGAGGAGGGAGGAGGGAAGGAGGAGGGAGGAGGGAGGAGGACGGATGGGGAGGAGGCGGATCTCGCGCACGGCGCTATCGGAGCCATCGAGGCTACGGATGAGGTAGGAGGAGGAGGAAGAGGAGGAGGCGGAGGAGGAGGAGAAAGAGGAGGAGAAGGAGGAGGAAGAGGGGGAGGAAGGATTTGAAGCAGGACGGATGAGGAGAAGGATGACGACGACGAGCAGGAGGAGGAGAGGGAATGACGCCCGTCCTGGAGCCTCTTGGTGTCGCCGTGGCTCTCCTAGAGCGTGCTGGGGGTCCTGTGGCCTGTTTGGGCTCTTCGGGGCCTCTTGGAGCCTCCTGGGCCCTCTGGAGCTCCCTGAGTGTAATTCAAAGTGGGTCCTCGGGGGGGCTCTTGAGATCTCGTGGGCTCTCCCGGGGCCGCCATGGGCCCTCCTGGAGCCTCCGTGGGCCCTCTAAGAACTCTCTCGCGGGGGCGGAATGATGAAAACACTTTCACGCATGGGGGCCTTTCCGTTGAGAAGGGGGGCGCGGTGCAGAGTGGGTCCTCCTGGGGCCCTCCGGAGGTCTCCTAGGCACTCCCGAGGCCGCCATGGGCCCTCCTGGAGCCTCTGGGGGCCTCTAAGAAGCCTCTCGCGGGGGCTGAAAAATGACGACAGTTTCACGGATGGGAGCCTTTCCGTTGAGAAGGGGAGCGCGGTGAAAGGTAATAAAGTGACGACAGTGTCGCATTTGAGGCCCCAAATCGTCTTTGGGCACCTCGGGCGCGAATCCCGCTCCCCCATAGTACGGCGCGATTTCCCCTCCCCCCGCTGTCCCGCCGGACCCCGGGAGGGTGATTTTTGTGGTTTTCGCTTGTAAGAAACACTTCCCCCCCCCTCTCGACGGTGACGGAGGGCAGGCGGCGGGGGTGGGCGGGTTGGCGGGGTGGCGGGTTGGCTGGGGTTGCGGGGTGGCTGGTTGGGCTGGTTGAGCCGGTTGAGTTGTTTGGGTGGCTGGTTGGTTGGGCTGGCTGGTTGGGCTGGCTAGGGCAATTGGTTTCGACTACTACTACTACTACTACTACTACTACTACTACTACTACTACTACTACTACTACTACTACTACTACTACTACTACTACTACTACTACTACTACTACTACTACTACTACTACTACTACTACTACTACTACTACTACTACTACTACTACTACTACTACTACTACTACTACTACTACTACTACTACTACTACTACTACTACTACTACTACTACTACTACTACTACTACTACTACTACTACTACTACTACTACTACTACTATTACTACTACTACTACTACTACTATTACTACTACTACTACTACTGCTGCTGCTGCTGCTACTACTACTACTACTCCTACTGCTACTGCTGCTGCTGCCGCTGCTGCTACTACTACTACTACTAATAGTAATACTGACAATACTTAAGACAACGAGTGCTACTAATACGCGTAAGAAGAGTAATACTTCTAATACTAAGATGAATAAGACAGGTAACAAGAAGAAAAAGACGAAGACTAATAACACTAATAATAATATTATTAAGGAACAGAGTAGCATCAATCTGTCGAGGGGCCCGCGCGGATTCCCCTGGGGGACCCCCTTCGAAGCCTCCGGCGCCTCCCCCTGTCGCGTTTTGCGCGCCAGGGGTGGGGGTCCAGCGCCTGTCCAAGAGAGCCGCGCGGACCTCCGAAAGTTTATGTTTCCGCAGTTCTTCTGATCCTCCAGTGCTGTCAGTAGGTTGCAGGAGCGCTGCGAGCGGTCGCAGGAGGGGAGCTGGGCAGGGGAGGCCCTCGTCCTCGAACTCCTTCTCGCCCTGCAAGCAACGGAGAGGTTGCTGCTTTCCCGTGCGCGCAGTGCTCACGTTGTTTGCCACGCGCCAAGCCATGCTGACGCACGCTCGAGTCACGCACGGTGCGCGCACTGAGCGGAGGCTGTATGCCGACGACGATGGGCCGATGGGGTCTGATAAGCGTACCGCAGGCAGTTTTCGATCAGGATCCGCCTCATTTCGCACTGGTCGAGCCCTCGTCTGACCATATGCTGTCTGTCGGTTGTCGCCAATACCCCACCAATGGATGCTGACAGGGCAGCGCAATTACGCAGACGTTGCTGGTACACTCGCGTACTAATGGCGAGGAAGCAAGGCCGCGCGCGGCGGCCTCCTGTGCGCCCTGTCAAGCCAGCCCCAGACGGCGCCTAAAGCATCTCTTTGGTCACTGTTGCGTCCTCAGCGGAGTTTCTGGACATGCTTTCGGCATGAAAATCACGACGGGAGGTTTTGGGTAATTTTGGGTTTCCAGGGGCCCTCGCTGGACCGCGGGGCCGTCGAACAACGAGGGAAGTGTCGGGGTTTCCAGGGACCCTATGAGTATCGAAGACGCCTACGGCGAATCACCGCCGCCCCCTGCCCGTTCGGAAGCGCCTGTGTGGCCGAACGTTGTGGCCAGAGGCCTGCCAAGCTATCGGACCATGTGTTCCCCGAAACGGTTTGGAAAGCGCTCGGGGAACACGGTGGGGGGAGGAGGAAGGGGAGGAGAGGAAGGGAGAAGGAGAAGGAAGGAGGAGGCGTCTTGTGAGGCTCTTGGGCTACTCTAGTGTTCATTTGGGCCATCTTTGCGGTCTTGGAGAGATCTTGGTTAGAAGCCATTTCGGGGTCTTGTTTGAATTCGCTCTCCTTCATTGCTTGTCCGTAGGTGCATTTGGGGAACACGTGCTCCCCGAATCGGTTCGGAAAGCTTTCGGGGAACACGTGGTGGAGGAAGAGGAGGAGGAGGGGGAGGAGGAGGAGGAGGAGGAGGAGGAGGAGGAGGAGGAGGAGGAAGGGACGTTTGGGAGCGTCTTAGGTCATTATTGGAGGCATCTCTGAGGGCTCTTAGCAGCCTTTCGGAGGCCTCTTTTGGGCGTCTTGGGATTGTTTTGGCATCTTTCGGAGCCTGTTTTGGGCGTCTTCCGGGTGGGAAGCCTTTCGGGGAACACGTAGTCGGGCGAGCTATCGTACCAGGTAGTTTCCGAGGCTCCGTTGACATCTGTCAGGGTATGAGCGATCTTCGGGCGACCTTGGGGGCCTCTTGGGCCGTCTTGGGCCGTCGGAAGGCCGAAAATGCGCAAATGCTAGAATGCTTCAAGAAACTACGGGAAATCAATGATTCTGGCCCCTTCGGGCCTCCTTGAGGACCTCTTGGAGGCCTCTTGGGCCTTCTTGGAGGCCTCTTCGGGGCCTCTTGGGCCGTCTTGTGCCATCTCGAGGCCATTTAAGGACGTCTTGGGTGCATGTTGTGCCGTCTTGGAGGCATCTTGGGGCCATCTTAGCCGTCTTGGAGGCCATCTTGGCTGTCTTCGAGACATCTTGGAGGCCATCTTAGCCGTCTTCGAGGCCATCGAGGGCGTCTTGGGGGCATCTTGGGCCGTCTTGGGGCCCTCTTGAGGCCCTCTTGGGGGCCTCTTGGGCCGTCACGGGGCCATCTTGGAGGCCTCTTGGGCGATCTTGGGGCGACCTTGGGGGCCTCTTGGGCCGTCTTGGGCTGTCGAAGAGCCGAAAAGGCGCAAATGCCGAAATGCTTCAAAAACCTAAGGCAAATCAATGATTTTGGCCTCTTCGGGCCTTCCGAGAGGACTTCTTAGAGGCCTCTTGGGCCATCTTGGAGGCCTCTGGGGGGCCTCTTGGGCCCATCTAAGGCCGTCTTGGGTGCATCTTGGGCCGTCTTGGAGGCATCTTGGAGCCATCTTGGCCGTCTTGGAGGCTATCTTTGCCGTCTTGGAGGCATCTTGGAGGCCATCTTGGGCCATCTTGGCCGTCTTGGAGGCCATCTTGGGCGTCTTGAGGGCCTCTTGGGCCGTCTTGGGGCCCTCTTGGGGCCGTCTTGAGGGCCTCTTGGGCCGTCACGGGGCCATTTTGGAGGCCTCTTGGGCGATCTTGGGGCGACCTTGGGGCCTCTTAGGCCGTCGAAAAGCCGAAAAGGCGCAAATGCCAAAATGCTTCAAAAACCTATGGAAATCAATGATTTTGGCTTCTTCGGGCCCTCTTGGAGGACCTCTCGGGGGCCTCTTGCCGTATCGGAGGCCTCTTGGGGGCCTCTGGGGCCGTCTTGGGCCATCTTGATGCCATCTTAGGCCATCCTCGGTGCATCTTGGCTCGTCTTGGAGGCATCTTGGAGCCATCTCAGTTGTCTTGGAGGCCATCTTGGCCGTCTTGGATGCATCTTGGAGGCCATATTGGGCCGTCTTGGAGCCAGCTGGAGAGAAAAATCCTTGGCAGCCGGGTCCGGGCAATCCTTCCGGGACCCCGGCGGGACAGGCCGAAGCCCCAGGGGGAGTTCTTTTGGAAAAGAACCAAAACCTAAACGTAAGAAGTCCAGCACGCCAGGCACCCCTGCGATGAATCGACAGGGGGCAGCGGATTTTGATGCCTTCGGCCCATCCCGCCAACGTGCCTTGGTTGCAGGTCAGAGGCCCCTTGGATGCCTGTGGGGACCTCTTGGGAGGCCTCTCGGAAGCCTCTTGGAGGCGGTCTTGGCGTGTCTTAGGGGGCCTCTCGGGGGTCTCTTGGGGCTTGATTTGGGCTTCTTGGGGGCCTCCTCCAGAGCTTCTGGGGCGCTCTTGGGGGCCTGTTGGCGATCCCGGGGGTCATACCCTATTTTAGGATGTCCGTCCTGGGAGGTAGAATTCAGCATCCGCCCTGGTATATCCGTGGTCGTAATCCAACCTAATCTGGCATAGTCCTGCTCAATTCTGTTAGATCCTGGCTGCTCCAGCTTAGTCCCGCGTCATCCTGGGCTGGATGTCTGTGCTAATCCGGCTCAGTTGCACCCTAATCGGGCTTAGTAGTTTTTCTTCGGTCTTCGCGGATAGCTCTCTGAGAGCTGAGAGGGTTTCAGATTAGAAGCCGGCACCGCAGGTTAGCCCTGGAGCTCGTTCCAGCTTCCGGCGGGACACCTCGGCGGGGCTTCCGAGAGGCCTTCCCGTTTTGTTTCCCAATACGTGTGCTTGGAAGCTCTCCATAAGCTCCTTCAGAAGCTCCTCCCACGAGCTTCCAGGGCTCATTCGAGAGGCCTTTGGAAGGCCTTCTGGCGCTCCGCTACCCGAGTTTTGGATCCCGCAAATTATCTCCATCCTAACCGATTTTGTCCTCATCCCGGTTTCGTCTCGATCTTCGACACAGCACAGGTACGGTGCACAGTCTTTCTGCTTTCGGAGTCGAGAAGCTATGCACCCTTCCGCGTTGGAGCGGAGCCTGAAGGGAGTCCAGATATGGTCCATGTCTAGGCCTCCCAGATTGGGTCGGAGTAGTTGGGGTCGATATGGAGCCCGATTTTCTCCACGTCGACGTCGACGATATTTCTCCGACGTCGACGGTGAATCGCCGATGAATTGGCGATGTTCGGCGGTGCGGCGCAATCGTCCGACCCCATGCCATTTGCTCGGACCCGATCTGGGAGGCCTCTAGCATGACCGCATTTCTCTGTGTGAAGGCGCTGCTCTTTCTCAACCAGTTGCAAACCTTGCGCTATTCTTGCCCACCTGCTGGGAACTACCTGGCAGCCCAGAGGAATTCAGGAGGCCTCTAGCGTAGGCGCCGTTCTCGTACTTCGCCGACGTCGATGGTGCATCGCCGACGTCGGCGGTGCATCGCCGATGAATCGCCGATGCATGGGCGATGCATCGGCGATGCATCGGCAATGCGGCGCCATCCTCCGACCCCATTTTTTAGGAGTCCCCTAGCATGGGCGCAGCGTCTGGCGCCTCCAGCGCCGCGCGCCAGGGAGGGGGTTCCAGCGCCGAGCCAAGAAATCTGCGTGGACCTCAGAAAGTTTATGTCCACGTCATTGCTTGCTCCCCTAAGCACGTACGGTGAGTGCACTCGCCCTTTTCTTCCTGCTCCGCGGCCGCTCTCTGCCCTGTTTCTCTTTCTCTTGCAGCCGGACAATTCGTACGTGCGCTCTGCCCCAGCTACTGAGCGTGCCAGCGGATTGCCTCTGCCGCGCCGCGACGCAAAAGACAGTTTCCCCAAGCATGGGCGCCGTCGTCGTCGTCGTCTCCAGCCTTCACGGGCGCGCTCCCCGCCCCTCCGCGGAGCCGCGAGCGGAGCGGCGGCGGCGGCGGCGGCGGCGACGGCGACGAGCAGAAGGGGGACGTCCGGGCGCCGCTCTCGTACCCCTGAAGGCCGAAAGTCGCCCAAAGCCTCCCGTCGTGAGCTTTTCGTGACCCGAGGGGGTCTGGGCCAGCCACCCGCCCGCGGCCATGCCGGCTCTTCCTGGCCGCGCCCTGGCCGCTGGCCTGGGCCCTCGGAGCGCCAGGCGCGGGCGTCGCCGCGCGGCCGCGCCGGCGAGCCCAGTTTGTTTCGTAGGTCGGCGGCGAGCGAGGGGGGAAGTGAGAAGGAGAAGGCCTTCTCAGAAGGTTCGGAAGTTTCCCGGGTGTCTGAGAAGTTTTCCAGGCCTTCCCCGCAAGACAAGACAAGACAAGCAAGACTTGGCGCGCCGCCACATCGGATTCCTTCTGGTTTGCCTCAAAGCCACCCGCCCGCGACCAGGCCGGCTCTTCCTGGCCGCGCCGGTCCGGCCCTTCTTCGCCGCTGGCGCGGGCAGCCCCGGGGCGACGCCTCTCCCAGGGGGTGGGGGCGGCCGCGCGCGCATGTGGGCCTGCCCAGAGGGCTTCGAGGTCCGAGGTTCGGGGGTCGACGGTCGAGCTTCACTCGGCGGCGGGCGAAGGGGGTAACTTCGAGGTTCGAACTTCGAGGCTCGAGGTTCGAGGCGGTTTTTCACAGTTCTCTGCCTTCGGGGACCGTTTTCGGGCCCCAGGACCCCCGAAACTCGATCCTGGGTGAAACGCCGGGTCGGATGGACCCTGGAGGGGTCCAGGGACTCATTTTGATCTTCGGGGGAAGTGAGAAGGAGAAGGCTTTCTCAGAAGGCGGCGGGACTTCTCAGAAGCCCTCGTGCCTTCTGAGAGGTCTTTTGTGTCTTCTAGGAAGGCGTTTAATAACTTCTCAGAAGGCTGGGAGACTTCTGAGCCTTCTGAGAAGGTCTTTTCCTTCTCACTTTCCCCCCTGGGCTCGCCGCTGATTCGCGATCCACCCAACCACCCCAACCCAACCCGAAGGCCCCAATTTGCCCTCCATTCCCAGTGGAGGGGGGCGTCGGGGAACATTGAAAAAGCACATGTGGAACCCGTACCCCCCACCCGAAATTGGGTTCTTCGGGTTAGGTCGGGGTTGTCTGGTAGGTAGTCAGCTTCGAGTGTCTAGGGCCGAGGTGCGGGGATGGTCGGCCGCGGGCATCAGAGGAGGAATAGGTACACATACCGCTATCCTTCGCTCGTTTCCCCTTTCTCTCGGCCTCCTGGGAGGCCCTCGTCGCCACCGCTGGATTCGCCTCGAAATTCTGGTCAGAACGCACCCCAGGAGAGGTCCGGGGAGTAGCGGTATCGGTACCTGTTGGTTTCCCCAGAGGTGCCATGATCGTTGGCCTTGAGCAGAGGGGTGTAGGGGGTGGGGGGAAGGCTTCTCAGAAGCACCCCTGCTAAGGAGCCTTCCCCCCTCCCCCGTTCCCCCCTCGTGCGCGCCGCCAACGAGGATCGAGGGTCGAGGTTCAGTGTTTGAGGCTCGAGGGGCAGGCCCGAGGTTCGAGAGCGGATGCTCGAGGCTCAAGGCCCGAGGATCGATACTCGAAGTTCGAGGGGCAGGAGCGAGGTTCAAAGTTCGAGGATCGAGGGTCGAGGACTTGGGTTCGAGAATCGGGGTTCGAGGATCTCAGGGGCAATGTTAGGGGGGCATAATTCGGGTCAGGGGGGTGGGTCGATCCCCAATCGCCCACTCATCGGCGGTAGGGGCGCGATAGCCTACCCCGCCCGGGACCGTGCGGATTCGCTATCGAGAGCCTACCGCCGATCTATCGGCGATGTATCGCCGATTCCAGGTCGATCCCCCCCTGAGCCGTTTCCCACGTAGAGGTTCGATTATCGGGGTTCGAGGACCCGGGTTCGAAGATCAGGTTTCGAGGATCGGGGTTCGAGGATCTTTTTTGGAGTTTTGGGGCTTCTTTGGGCCTGTCTCGACCTCATGGGGTACACTCGTGGCCACGGCTTTGTCCGCCCGGGGATTCTGGTCAGGGCGCGCCCCATGGAGGAGGGGTCATGGGGCCGATGGTTCAGAGGAGGAGGGGAATTATGGGCGCTGAGAGGGGTGGACTCGCCCAGAAGGGGCAAATATCGACCCCAAATCATCCACTCATCGCCAATCGGGGCCTGGGTGCCCAGCCCCGCCAAGGAAAGTTCGGTTTCGCACTCGACAGCCCATCGCCGATCTATCGGCGATGTATCGCCGATCCTAGGTCAAAATCCACCCCGCTGAGCCGTTCCCCCCCCTCCTCCTCCTCCTCCTCCTCCTCCTCCTCCTCCTCCTCCTCCTCCTCCTCCTCCTCCTCCTCCTCCTAGGCTGCTGGATCGAAGGAAGGACATACATAACATATATACATATAACGGCGCACCGGGTCCGGGGGCCCGGGGCCGGGACCTCGACCGCAAATGTGGGCCCCGGGGGGCCCAGAGACTCGTCGGACCGCTGGACGCCGTCCAAGATCGTTCGCAGGCGGCTTCGGAACGCGCTCCGATGGCTCCAGATGCCTTCCAAGACGCCTGTCATGACACCAAGACGGTCCCAGAAGCCTCCAAGACGCTCCGAGAGGCAGCCCAAGAGAGGCCCAAGAAGCAAAAATCGTGCCATTCCTATGGGAAAACGTATATTTTCGCATGTTCGCATCTTGGGCTTTCACCGCGTCCAAGACGGCCCAAGAGGCCTCCAAGACGGCCTAGGAGGCCTCCGGGAGCGCTCCAAGGCTGCGCACGAGTGGCCCAGGACGGCCCCAAGACGGCCCAAGAGAGCCCCAAGACGAGTTCGAGAGGGGTCCCAGACGGAGAAAGCCAACCTCGAATTCCGAGCTTCCGGCCCAAGAGGCTCCAGGAGGCGCCAAAATGCCGCCAAGAGGCGCCACAAGGCTCCCAAAAGCACCCCAAGACGTTCCGAGAGGCACCCCAAGAGAGGTCCAAGAAACAAAAATCGTGCCATTCCTATGGGAAAACGTATATTTTTCGCATGTTCGCATCTTGGGCTTTCACCGCGTCCAAGACGGCCCAAGAGGCCTCCAAGACGGCCTAGGAGGCCTCCGGGAGCGCTCCAAGGCTGCGCACGAGTGGCTCAGGACGGCCCCAAGACGGCCCAAGAGAACCCCAAGACGACTTCGAGAGGGGTCCCAGAAGGAGAAAGCCACTCTCGAATTCCGAGCTTCCGGCCCAACACATCCCAGGAGGCGCCAAAACGCCGCCCAGAGGCGCCAAAAGGCTTCCAAAATCAGCCCCAGACGTTCCGAGAGGCACCCCAAGAGAGGTCCAAGAAGCAAAAATGGTTCATTCCTATGGGAAAACGTATACTTTTCGCATGGTCGCCTGTTGGGTGTTCACCGCGTCCAACACGTCCGAAGAGGCTCCCAAGACGGCCTAGGTGGCCCCCAAGAGAGTTCCAAGACGGTTCACGAGGCGCCCAGGACGGCAAAATTGGAGTCCAAAATGGCCTAAGAGAGCCCCAAGGCGTGCCGGAGTGCCGGAGAGGGGTCCCAGAGGGAGAAAGCCATTGTAGAATTCCGAGCGTTCGGCCCCAAGAGGCTCCAGGAGGCGCCAAGAGAGCTCCAAGAAGCCCCCACGAGAGACCCAGGACGCCCAAAAGGCTTCTCACAACGATTCTTGGTTCTGTGACTCGACAGAACCTAAGCGCGCGCGAAGCGCGCGCGTGGTTCTAGTATATATATATATATATATACATCCACACCGCCGTGACAAATTATTATGCGTTTTTTTTATGATGTGTTGGAATCTCCGATGCCTCTGACGAGTCCTAACATTGACATGCGTCCTCCGCGATCCCGCGGAGTAAGTCGTCTACTTCTAATTAATAACATTGTTTCTCAAAACAGGATCGGAAATCACTCCGCCCATTCTTTTATGAAAAATGGGACGGGATGCATGTCCACGCGGAGTAATTTCTACTCCGCCCACTCCGTTTACTCCGCCATTCTTGAGTCACGTTGAATGAAGACCGCATAATACTTTTGACACTGTAATGTATTTATATATATGTATGTATGTATGTATGTATGTATGTATGTATACATATATATATATATGTATACCGATCGTACCTGTTGTACAACCGTACACCAGCGTTTCGCGCCCCCGTACAGCAGGCCCTGGAGACAAAGGGGCCTGGGGGACCCCTAAGGTTCTCTCCTTCCTGCCCTGCTCTGTGCCACCATGCGAATCTGCTATTGCAATCCAATGGAAGTCAGCATCTTGGAACGACTACAAGACATCAGCTGCGAGTGGCGAAATTGGGATGCTGTACCACTCAGCGGCACGTGCAGGAGGGCATGACCAGAGCCGTCTCAGAGAAACAGGCTGCCCTACCACGACGTCCTACAGTTCGGTACAACAAAGGGAAAGTAGACCAACAAAAGCGGCGGAGTGGCCATTTTATTAGCCACGCCCTGGAACCGACTGATGTACGAGACATTTACTACCCCCCGCGTCGCCGCAGGGAAGAGTAGCAGGGGTACGAATAGCCAACAAACAGTTCGACTACGCCCTATTCGTCTGCTACTACGCACCCACACACGTGACATATTTCCCAGCACTGGCAGAGGCTATAACTTCGTAGTTGGAAGCCAGATTCGACAGACTGGGCTGTCGCACGACTTTTGTGACGGGGGGCGACATAAGCATCGACTTTGGATTTCAGAGGGATCACGACGGGGGGTTGTGTGCAGCAAGGGACTGGCACTAGGCCCAAAATCGCCCAAGCTGGAAAATCATAATGGACAGAGGCCTCTGCGTGTGTAGCGACCTTAGTATAGTCGCTACTCATCACAACATAGGCCCAACCTGCTACGGACACTCGGGCCACATCAGCTAGGTAGACCACATTGCGGTCCCAACTGGGGCCACACTAGGGCAAGTAGTATATTGCAACGCGCTCCACAGTGCTGGTAATATTACAAACGATTCGGACTACATCCCCGTGAACAAGGTTATTACAAAAGCGGCACGCGGATGGAAGCCGGCAGAAATTCTGAATCAGACCAGGCGGGGCACGTCGCATCAAGTTACATCCGCCTGTCAGTATCACGGAAAAAAAAACGTATCGTTTTGGTGGGAACGAAACCGCAGGGCAGAACGTGGAACCGCCCGCGCCAGCGGCCCTGTGAAAAATGAAATCGGAAGAGCACTTGGGCATTAAGTGGCGTCCGCCTCCCAATGCTGCCACTGGGCGCGCAAGCCAAAGTGTGGTATATCTATGACCTGGCCCGCGGTGCAAGCCTGCGCACGTAGCCGACATTTAAAGACGAATATGATTGAATAGTCCTGTTTGGGCTTCTTGCCGATTTTGTTATAATTTTTTTCCTGGCTGCGTGGCGGGCATAGACACCGCGTGCCACTGGGACTTGCCCTCCGCCATCGCCACCCCCGCTCCTCAGCCCCGCCCGCGTCCCGGCGACGACGGGGATTGTGCAGGGGCGGGCTCGCGGACCGCGTCGGGCGCGGATGCA